TGTTAGGCTCTAAATTTATCCTAAAGCTTTTAAAGAAGACTTTATAAAATATTATTTGTTTCCTGGAAAAAAAGGATACTATGGAAAAGTAAGGCCATTTATTCAAAACAGTACAGATAATAGTAAGTATGCTACCAAGGCAATTTTATATTAGGTAATTTTTAAATTTCCTTCAAATTGTCTCATTTGAACACATGACTAGTGACATTTATAGATTTTATTTCCCACGGAAGATTAACATGCTCTTAATGGGAATGACTGAGATAAATTGACAGTTGTGTCTTTCATTAAACTGTTACATTCCTACAGATTTTGAATTGGCCAATTTATTGGCAAGATACTTGTAGTTAGAGTCAGCCATCTGCAAAAGTGTGAAATATGAAGAGTGTGGGTTTAAAAGCTCTTACTTTGGTACTCACTAGCAGGCCTTAAGTTCCTTTTTCCAAGCTTCAGACCTCCTCAGTGTACATTTCATTCCAGTGTGTAGTATGGGTTTCATCTCTGTATATATCTGCTGAGCCTTAGCAGGTGCCGTGTTAATTGCTAATGTTTGTTAAACAACAAGTGGTCCTTTTCTGGGCTCTTTGCATTGTAAAACGGGCCATAAAAACAACATCAACAAAACAAAACAAAAACGCATAAAATAAGCCATTAGAATTCACAGGAATGACGCATTAACTGACAGGTACAGAAGTGCTCGTTCAGGTCAGGGGGCTACTCTAATTCAAGGGGCTTTCCTTGTAATGATAGACCAATGTATTTTACAAGTGCTAATGTAATTATGTAATTCATTACATGATGCCTTTCCTTCTGAGTCATTACAATTGTGTAGTGTTGACACAAATTTGTACTTAGATTCATAACTGTAGGGTAAGACATGTAATTAGCTGGTTTCTTCTTGAAGGAACCCATTAGAAGGTTAGGGGAATCTACCTACTAAGACAAAAATTCATCAACACATGAGTTTAATGAATCCTTACGGTTTTGCTGTCAGAGAGAGTTACCCTTAAAATATCCCCGGGATATTGTTCATCTTTACTAAAAAAAAAAAGATTGTTTGACAAATATTAATTGAGTTGCCAATAGGTACTGTTTTGCACACGTGATCAAAATACACGCAGCACCTCTTTTCCTGCAGCTTACATTCTAGCTAATATCTCAAGAAAAATGTAGAAATCTCCTTTGATTAATAACTACATTTAAATAATACTTTTATGTCCATAAATCTCTTGAAATGATAATACCATTTGATTGTATAATAAACGTATGATAAATCCTGTGAGGATGAGCATCATTTTTAATTTGTTGTTTGTATCTACAGCATATAGCACATAATAGTCACATCGCATACAATAAATGTTTGCTTAATTAATAAATCAATGAATAATTCCAAATCCTGGGTTATTATATAAGATTTTTTAAAATTATAAAGTGTTCTACAAGTGAAAGTATTCTTTCATGGTTGACTACGAAACTGCTTAATGGTCAGCCTATCTAATTACGTAAAATCTGTCAATTTGAGTGACAGGTAAAAACATCTGGCCAAATAACTGTTTTGAGATGAGTTAATTAGAGTTTATTTGTCAGAAGCAATCCTTAAACTGGTATTTCACTAACAGTGTCTGATTTTTAATTATCAAGTCTTGGTTTATTCTCCGTTGGAATACCTACTTGCGTGAAATAATATAAAACAATCTTAGGAACATGTAATAATACAAAGCATATTGAAAAATCCTCTGTTCACTTAAAACTATTCGATAATGTCACCATCCATTAAAACTAATACCAAACACTTCAAAAGTTTTTGGTGATTGCATTTTATTATGCATTTCCAAGTTTTCCTTAACAGCTAGTAACCAGATAGACAAAAACTATAGGCTGCCCATGATTACGATCCCTTTCAGGTTACAGAAGGCAAATCTAAGTCAGATGGTGGTGTTGTAGCACTGCTCTGTCTTTCTTTGGACCACACCATATTCTCTGTTTATATGTATGCTATAGTTTTTGCTCAAAAAGAGGGTGAACTGAAGCAATTTAATATCACAGATGCCACTCTGTTCTGCACTTGTATATGTATTCCCCAAAAAGTTTCGTGAAGGGGATACCTTCCCTGAATTCTCCCACTGCTGCCAGCCTCTTCGATGTCCAAGTGGTCTTCTTTCCACTTGGTCTTCTTTCCACCCTGCTTAGGAATTTTATGATCATCTTCAAATGATTTTGAATTATTTTCCAAACTTGAGAAGTAATTTAGGAATGCAGATGCCACTTCCACTGAGTATCTATCTTTCACTGTAGTCAAATCTTTCTATTAGGAGATTTTGTTTCAAGGAGAAAGTGCCACAACCACAGAAAACCAGAAGTAAAATAGGAAGATCCTTTTCTAGAACAAAACAGACTTATAAATATTTCAAATTTCTTTGGAGCAAATATCTTTTGAAAAGCTGGAAAAAAAATGGAATTGGTTGATTGGACATAGTTGGTTTGTATATCTATGGATTAAATAAATGTGTCAAATGTTAGTGAAGGAAAGCGAAAAATGAAAAGAAAGAATGACAGTGGAGAAATAAGTCTTATGTGGATTCCGCTGTGTTTGTTCCTTACCAGAAAGTCCCTTACATAAGAATATACCCAGGCGAATACTACATTGTATATTTTTATGAAGGCTCCTTTTTGCAAAACATACTTATCTTTAGGAACAATTCTCGTTATGCTCTGGGCTTTTCCCCTGTCCCTACATCTTCTTTCTTGGTATATGCTTATTCAGTATGTTCAATGCCTTGTACACTTTAAACGCATGCTCTGAAACTTGGAATGTTTATAACTGGCAGTTGCAAAATATCTTTCAAATTGCTGTCACATACTTAGATACAGATCTACCTGGAAATCCAAATGATGTGGTAAAATACATTTGCTTTTAATTGAAAATAAACCTGACTTTTCATTTGGTAGTTACCATTTCCCCTTTGTTCCTGGAAGAGTTTTTCTTTATTTTCTTTCTCTCCTTGCACATGTCGATCTTTTTTAAAAATGAATGTTTGCCAAATCTAGTTTGAGTTAGAAGGGAAGGTGGGGATGGTAGGTACTAAAAATTCTGACCAAGAACATTGGCAACTGGTTTCCAATACAGCGGTAGTCTATATGCCTGGTTAAGCAATTAAATTACAATTACATTAATTGATATTATAAATCATGCTTTGGGAAAATGAGTTTTTGAGATTCGTGACACCTAGTCTCATTTTTATTTTTCACATGTATCTTGGGGGAAAAATCAGCACATATGGAAGATAATAAGAGTTGTTTCTTCCTTTAGTGTGATCAATTTTTATTTTGTAACTATGATGTGCTTTAGAGATGTGAGGCAAATTCATAAACTTGGTAATTTATTTTAAAATACAGAAGAAAATCGTAGGCTACTTTATCTAGAACATGTTTTATAAATGCAGAAGAGAAAATTTTGCCTTAAAGGAATTGATTTGAATCTGTACCAATGACCAAAAATTTGTAGTTTGGTTTGAATATTAAATAAGCAATTTCAAGAATTTTAGCAGTTTAAACTATTTCTGATTGAAATGGTATTTCTTCATTTACTTCCAACCTGCATCACTGCTATTCTTTGTGATAGCTATTTTACAGGGGTGTTCCGTGTATGTCAGAATTTGAGTCTGCTACTGTGGCATCCTACATGGCTATTAATAAAGAATTTTCTGTAAGGCAAATATTAAACAGAATCATCAAGATTTTGTGCAGTGAGTTTGTATAAGAAAAATGATACAGACGATAAGATTCTGCAAGCCCTTTCAGTGTTTTGAACTCACCAATAAACTGAAGACTTGTGAGAAATATGACTTTTCTTTATACACTCAGAGGAAGTATTTAAAAAGAAATTAAACAAGAAACCAGGAGCCTCTAGGTAAAGTAAAGGAAAAACATTAAAATTTCATAACAGTTCTAGAATTTGCTCAATAAATTTACATTGGTATCAGAAAACTATCCCAGACAATGAAAGTACTGTGAGACTTAAGGTTAAGTGAGAGCTTGTAAGGAAAATTATAGCTGCACAAAAACATTGTAGACTTCCAAATTTTAAAGGCATTAAACATTAAGGATAAACACGTACTTTGCTCATTTCCTCAGATTAAGTATGGTATTTTAGAAAGGTGTACGCTTTCCCCATTTTACCCATCAAATTTTAAAAACTCAAATTTTAATCTGCATGTAGTCATGAAGAAAATTTGATTTGTGTTTATTTGCATGGGTTAAAACAAATCAAAGAACTGAGTATAATTTGTGGGAAATATCTAATTTGTAAGTCTGTGTACATTTCAAAAGAAATGACGTACAAGAATCATGATACTATATCTGAGGATATTTGTGTTTCAACTGTCTTGATTTAAAAAGAGAAATGTGAATATACTTTTTGCTTAAAATTTTGATATTTAAAGACACTTAATGCTGGGTTATCTAATCGTCGTGATTGAATTATTATAACTACTACTTTGGGAGCTAGAATATATTTACTAGTGATTAATTCTCTGTTTTTTATTTTTAAAAGATCTGGCTGCTCTTAAGAAACAGCAAATTACCTCAATTTACAACTCATCTTTCTATTTTTAAAGAAGTGCACTTTTATGACTTACAGAAACTAGAAATAATCTTAAGTATAGAACTGAGACAAATCATTTTTAATTTAGTCACAACCTGAGAACTAATATAGAAGTATATTAAGTGCATGCCATTAAAAAAAAAAGATCTAAAAGAGTACTATAGAAAATGGGTGGCAAAATTTTCAGTCTGCCACTTGAAACTGGCTTTTCTTTCCCCCAGAACTTGTGTGCTCCATGCATCACTGTTCTCTGTTAGATGCGTGGTTACAAAATTGTGAAAATGGAGGCTTTTCTGGTAGCAAAAGGGTTAAGTTCTTTTTGCTTTACCAGTTTCAAATTACAATGAGAAGCCTCTTCTTTCCCAGCAGGGTTGTGCTTACATTACTCTTTAGATCTCTCTTGAAGAGGGCTGGTATATTTGTGCCTGCTGGAGGTGGAATTAACAGTAAGAAGGAGAAAGGATTGAATGGACTTACAGGAAGGATTTCAAGTAAATTCAGGGAAACACATTTACTTGAATAGTACAACCTTGAGTATTATTTTACACTAAGACGACACAAAAGATGTTAAAGTTATCACCAAGCTGCCGGACAAATATATATTCCAACACCAAGGTGCAGATCAGCATAGATCTGTGATTCAGAAATCAAGATTTGTCTTGGAAAGAGCTCAAGGGTTGAGAAGAACTCAACAGCAAGTGAAGATACTTTGGGAACTACAGTTTATCAGAAGATCAACTTTCGTTAATTCAAATACCAAAGGCCTGATTATCATAAATTCATATAGGAATGCATAGGTCATCTGATCAAATAATATTAGCCGTCTTCTGCTACATCAATGCAGCAAAAACTCTTAACAACTGTGGATAATTGGAAATCTGAGTTTCAGCTTTCTTAGATATAACTACTCTTGACACATTGCAAAATATTTAAAATAGGACAGGAAAATCAGTGAGGATGTTGTGTTCAGAAAAATGTCACTGTCATGAAGAATAGGTAAATTTGTTTTTTCAGCTACTGGGAAAGTGTACCTCCCAGGAACTTAGATTTTTTTTTTTTAAGAGGACAAGAAAAACTAAAAATATAAACTTCTGCTTTTGGACAAAAATGCATCTGACTGTAGTTTTACTTAGGGGTGTTGTGGGTTTCCTCTGGAGCTGCTGGGTTCTAGTGGGTTATGCAAAAGGAGGTTTGGGAGACAATCATGTTCACTCCAGTTTTATTTATAGAAGACTACGGAACCACGAAAGACGGGAAATACAGAGGGAAATTCTCTCTATTTTGGGTTTGCCTCACAGACCCAGACCATTTTCACCTGGAAAACAGGCATCCTCTGCGCCTCTCTTTATGCTGGACCTATACAATGCCATGGCCAGTGAAGAAAACCCCGAAGAGTCGGAATACTCAGTGAGGGCATCTTTGGCAGGAGAGCCCAGAGGGGCAAGAAAGGGATACCCAGCCTCTCCCAATGGGTATCCTCGCGGCATACAGTTATCTCGGACCACTCCTCTGACCACCCAGAGTCCTCCTCTAGCCAGCCTACATGATACCAACTTTCTGAATGATGCTGACATGGTTATGAGCTTTGTCAACTTAGGTATGTTGTTCGTTTATTTGTTAATCTATGTTCTTACAACGTTGAAGTTTTCCTAATGGTAAAGTAGCTGCTTGGTAGGTGGTCATGTTTATGTAAAGTCATTTTCTATAACTCTCCTCTCTAGCTTCTGTTTTCTTTCTTTCATTGATATGAGGTAAGATTTTGCCTTAGGCAACAAAGTCAAATATATATTTAATATGAAAAGCTAAAATTAAACACTTATAGTTTGAGTAGCTTTGGCTGTTTTTAGATTTTGTTAAAATTTCAATCTTGCTGAAATATATGAATAAAAAGGCAGTAGTCTAAGAAAAGGGAAATTTATGAGGACAGCTTATGCTATGGGCAAAAAAAAAAAAAACAAGCACTTACAGATGGGAAAGTTAAAGTGACATTCTGAACCATTTTTTTTTTGTTAGTAATTTAAAGCACATATAAGTATATATTCACACAATAATAAAAAATTCTTAACTAGGGAAAGCAACTACCATAATAGTATTGATGTGAAATTAACTAAGATCAAATAATACTATAAAAGATCACTATGATAGAATACAGGAAGGGATTCTGAAATTCTATGAAAAATATTTTAGAAAAAAAGTTCCAATCTAACATTTCCTACCTGTAATGATTAAAATATGTCATTCTTACTTGACTTTTTTCATAGGCAAGGGAAATGTAAAACATGCTGCCATGGTCTTTACCTATACCTTTTACTTGAGATAAAATATTTAACTAAAAATTTCTGTAAATAGCAGCAATATTAGTGAATCATTTTTAAAATTATGTTTTACTCAAAGCTGGTACTTCATTGTAGTTTTTAGATATTAACAACATCAGATGGTAAATTAGTGTTCAATATTCTCTCTGGCAATAAAATGTAAAGCGCTTACCAATTTAAAATGATTTTATAAGAGCTATTGTTTTCTTTAAATATTTTAGTAAAAACTGAAGGTGAAATTTACTATCTTCTGACATTCAAAGAAAAATAACATGGAATGTATTTTATTTCTGAAGACTAAAAATTTTATCTACAAATTTAATTAACTGAGAAGAACTGAGAACTTTGTAATGTAATAACTTTTAAAACTTTCCTTTAAAAGTATAATCTGCTTTGACTTAAAATCGACATGTTTTATTATACACTTAATTAAAAACTTCCTCATATGATATCTCAAAGGAATTATCCTGTGAAAAGTCAGATAGCAAGAAGTCTTAATAACACATGGGTGCTTTTATAATATATATTACTTAATATGCTCTGCTCATTTGCTCTTACAATCCTAGCATGAAGGATAAGGTACCTAATAAATCATATGTTTTATGTTACTAGAGACAAAGCTCTCATTATTAGGTTTTAGTAAGTCATCATTCGTTGCACTCTTCAAGTGTCCTGGAGGCCTTTTCTTCTGCATATAATTAATAGATTTCACTTGGAACTTCTATGCCATTAAAATATAGTTTAATTCTAATTAAACTATATGATTGCATTTTCCTACTATAAGGGGGCATGCAAATGTGGCTCATGGTACATTTTACTTTGTAGCATTTCTAAAATATCATTTAAGAATTTAAAGTAGCTTCAGTACTAGAAAAATTGCAATCTAGCATAATTTACATGTTTGTAAGTTAAATCACTGGAAAAAATCAGTTCAGGTCATTTAAAATCTGATAGAGAAGAATTTGTTATGTTACATACTTTAAAAAACAGTAGCTCAGTCTTGAATTTGTCTTAATAATATATATTATTATAATTATTTTGATTATTCAAAAAGAGGTATTTTTTAAGAAAAGAATCAAGTATTATTTTAGCATTTGTGTGCCATTACTTTCTATTAATCTACATAGAGTATGAAGTCAAAAACAATAGTAAGCAGTTTTATTCAGTGATTTCAAGCACTTTTTTTCATTGTTAATGTATTATTAAGGAATACATTTTTAAATCAATTAAATTTTGATTATATTGTTCAGATTATAATAGCACAACAGTTTATCAGTTTATTACCTATACCAAGAAATATATTTATTCATTTTACTTTAGAGAAACAATGTTGGCTATGGGCTTTAGAAAATTTGATTTTTTTTATTTTTATTGTGCTTGAACTGTTGAGTAGTGATTTATCCTCGAGAACAAGCCATAATGTTTCTTCTTTATTTAATAATTGCAAACTAAATATCTCAAATGAAATTATTGACAAACTGATTCTGATACTAGGTGTTTCTCCTGGTAGTCTCCGAGAAAATTGAACTAGCATTCTATTATCCTTAGACCATGCCTTCTAACATATCCAAACCTTACAATCAACAACTGCTTAGTAAAAATCTTTAACTTCTCTATTTCTTTCATAATAAAATGGGCCAAAATGTACCCAGAAAAGGTAAATTTGTAATACCATTATTAACTGTAATAAGAATTTAAATGCTTTTTAATGTAATATTCATTAACAAATATTAACTGCAACTTGTTTCATGTTCTTATAAAACTCCAGACGATTTTATTTAATTTTATTCTTTAGTATCTTTAAAAAAATATGTATGTAGTTGAGACAAAGTGCAAATGAGTCAAATTAGCAAGAAGCAAGGGATTTTTACTGAGGAAGTCACCTGGATATTTAAATATGTGAAAAGAATGTGTTGACGTTTCCCATAATAACATGAATTACGTATAAAGGATCTAGTAGCATCCTTTTTTAAAATGCCTGTATGTTGTCATTTTCAAGTCAAACAATAAATTTTCTACAATTCATTCAGAAAGACATTTTTTTCAACATAAATTTTGCTCATCAAGAGCAATTAAACTTAATCCAAACTCAGAATTATATTTGGCAAAATACTTTTTAAACTTCAGGTAAGATAAGTTTTGTGTTCATAAGTGAAAAATAGATTAGAATTTACTAAAAGAAAAAAATAAAATGCATATAAATTGCCTTTAGGCATGTAAACATCCAAATATGAAACCAAACATGTCATTTTAACCTTTAAATTATATTAGTGATTTGTTCACTTTGCAGAAACAAATACAAATTAATTGTGTGAAGAGAAACTTTCCCTCTATCGTATTTATTATTTTCAGGCCAACTTTTGTAAGTCTCATAGTATAGAGCTTTTACAGATTCAGTTCTTTGCTTTTTCCCTAAAACTGTTGATTATCAGTGGAATTTTTGCTTAGTTAATGCCGCATTATTTTGTTAGTAACAAAAGATATCTTTCTAGTAAATTTTTTCTCTTTTAACCACCTCTTTTTCAAAAATGGTGCTAGTGTATGTATTAAATACCTATGCAAATTAAATGAATGATTAGATAATCTGTTTGCAATATTTAAGTATATCTCTATTTACATAAAGGTAAACATGTGGTGTATTTCAGGATCTTTCAGTTAGGAACTAATTTTATTTGATTACTTGGTGATAGTATCACTAAAAGAACATAACTTTGTAGATGTTTTAGAGGAAATTACAAAAAACCATAAAAACAGGAAATTTACTTTAATATTATTCTTTGTCTAGATGAATTTTTCTGAAAAGTTGAACTTTGGGTTTATCAGTGGTTTTTGACTCACTCACTAATCAGTGAAGTCAAATGCTTCTTAGATATATTCCAAAAATATATATCAATTCCAAGTATAAAAGGATTCAAATGTGATGCTTAATTTTTTTAATATTATATAACAACAGAATTAGTATGTTAAACATGAAAGAAAAAATGCTTTAAAAACTTTATATTAAGCCCTCCTTCCCCTACTTCCTCAAATCATTAAATTCTTCTGATACTGGAAGGAAAAAATGCTTATGTTCTCAGTTGTCAGATTTGAAAGACATCATTGATATTTATTGTTGTTTTTGGCTGACCCAAGTGCCCAGTGGAGAGGAATTTATATACAGATCTACCTAAAGATGCCTATCTATGTAGTCTCTCCAACAGGGTTATTAACACTTGTGTAACATAAACACACCCATAAACACATGCAAGATTTTTTTTAAGGGGGGATGGGCTGGGGAGAAAGATGATGTAAAGCCATTATAGTACATATTCATAAATTATGCCTGGAGTAGCAGATGCTAATATTGGGTAAAGCAACAATCATTCTTTACAACTTTTAACTTTTGAAGAGAAAGAATTTGCTGAGGGTGGAGACCTTTTTTTCTCTTCTTCCGTCACCCTTCACACTCATAAACATGACCAAAGGGATTCTTGTTCTCTTTTAAAGCTAGTTGATTGTCCAGTGACTGGTATGGCTGCCAGAGATAGTTACAATCATAGGTTAATTAACAAGATTTCTTGCAAATTTTAACGGTCAGTCACAAATAGCCGGTTTTAAAAGTTCAGGCTGGAATGAAGAAGATACGAACACATAAGCTAGAAGGACTTGGGACTGGCTCAACCACCACCTTCTCTCCCTCCTTCCCTTTCATTCTTCCGTTCTCTGTAGTATCACTGCCTTCTCTCCCCAACCCCACATTTTTTGGCCTTTCCTCTTTAGTTCTGTGGTCTCTAGCCTTAGGCTCTCTTGGCACCCCTTGTCTTGCCACCCCCACCCTTCCTGGGATCTGCCTTTGGTCCTAGTTTCTTCATAGCTGGAGGCGTAGGTTAGTTGAAAATCAATTAGTTACAGTTTGAGAATGTAGGTACAGTCTCCTGTTTTCTCTCTGGTGGAGAAGGAAAAGGTTATGACTTGCCAATTGCAGGCTCCACCCACTGGGAGAAAAGCTCCCCAGGGCATCAGAACTGCCCTAGCTCCTGCCATCGCCTATAATTGTTTGCCCATCATTCCATCCTTCTTTGCCTCCTCATCTCTCCCTGAGGATCCCATTAGCAGAATTTAATTGTGTTTTGCCTTTGCTAGCTTATAAAATAATCAACATTTAAAAGAAGAAATTTAAAGGAATGTTAAAAAAAAGGAGGAAACTTACAATGTTGAGCAAAAATAACACTCATCAAACATGCAATTCCCATTTTGCGTATGTTATCTTTATTTCATACCCGTGGCACTCCTGTGAAGAAAT